AGCTCTAGGGAGCTGTTCTTTTCGGTTGGCAGCCTGCTACGAAGAAGGGACAGAGGGAGGGAGCAGGCGGTGCGACTGGGGACCCAGCGGCGGTGCCGCACCGCGGGGTGTTCCGGCTGTGTCCAGCAGAGGGCGCCACCGCATCGCTGCCGGTACGGGCGGCTCCGGGGCGGGGCAGGGAGGCAGGGATGCTGCGGTTCTCCCGTTGCTCCTCAAGGGAAGAGCTGAACCAGGATGAGCTTGCTGCCCTTTAACTGGGTGCAGTGTATAATCACAGAATCGTGTGAGGTGGAAGGGACCTGCTGAAAACGTGAGTGAGAGCCTCTTTGCCTTGCGGATGGCAGGGCCCTGGGGGCCACAGCAGCTTGCGGTGGGAGGGTGCCGTCCCACCCCAGCTTTACGAGATGAAATCCCATCCCCAGGCTTTTCCCTGCTGCCAGAGCCTACCACGACACCAGTATTTCCAGGAGGACGCCCCTTTTTCCAAGACCCCACTCCCTCTGCCCACAGGGGGGGGTGTCAGAGGCCAGGCACAGCTCACACCTACCAGATGGAAAGAGTGCTGGCATGGGATTTGGCTCTGATAGGCAGCAGGAGGCGCTCCCAGCATCAATTCCATTTCCATTATGGACGGAAGAACGGTTTCATATGCCAGATCTGATTGCTTAGGATGATAAAAGCAAGCCATCAGCACGGGCATCATCAAATCCCAAATCTCCCAGCTGACTCACTTCCTGCATAACCTCCTTCACAAGCCGGACCGAACAAACAGGGCTGGCAGATCCTTCCCCAAAATACCTCCCCCATTCTAAGCTGTCATGGGCACAGTCTGCTTTCTGGGGTAGATCAAAGCACGCCGTGTCTGTCACCCAGCAGCCCTCCCAATAGGGACCCAACCACATCCCAGCAACTCGCTTCAACCAGGTGAGACCTCGTGAAGTGATGGCTGTGAGGGTTAATTAACGTTCAGCAGGGGGTGGTTAAAGCGGGGAAGAAACCCAAGATTAATTATCCCCTGGAGGCTGCTGACGATATGATGGGGCTGCCCTGTGAGCCTCAGCTGCAAACGGTTGGTCTGAGATGACTTCATCATATCAGGAGGGATGCTGGGAGTGGGAAGCATTTGGTCATGGCAGGGAGAAGGAAGAGGAAATCAAAATCAGCTGTGCTCCTAATGCAGGCCTCGTAAACTGTACAGTCATTGCAGGTGTCCCTGCATTGTATATGGACACCTACATCTGGATCAGGTGCTCAGAGCCCCATCCAGCCTGACCTTGCATGTCCCCAGGGATGGGGCTTCCAGCACCCCCATGGGTAACCTGTGCCAGCACCTCACTGCCCTTACTGTGAAAAAATAACTTGTTCATCCTTCCAGCCAGAGGCTCCTTCCTTCTCACCATGGATAGCAGGGTATCCCCACCCTAAATCAGCCATCTGCCATCTAGTACAGAACTGTCAGTCAGGCCTGGCTCCCTTGCACGTGGCCTTTGGGAAAACATAATAAAAGAGTCTAAAAGTACCATTTATTGCTGGAAGTCCGTGTTCTCAGCCCAAGGAAGATGTTGTGAAAAGAGCGTTACCAAATAAAGGGCTTTTGTGACAAAAGGTGTGAGTGGTGATGCCACAGATGTGTGCTGGGAGCTGTATTTGTAACCACCTCGCTCATGTCCTATGAGGGCTCAGGCCTGATGAAGCTGACTTGGGTTATTAAGAGGTTAAAAGGGTCATGGATTCACTGAGGTTGAAAAAGACCTCTAAGGTCATGTAATCCAATCACCAACTCACCACCACTATGCTCACTAACCACGTCCCCAAAGACCCAAAAGACCAGAAGACCCAAACCCAGAAGATTCACGTGCTGGCTGTGCCTGGGATGCTGCCAAAGCTGAGCACCATGGGCAGAAGTCCAGGTGGTGCACAGCACAGCAATGAGGTCCTCACTGAAGTTGTTTTGCTGGCTCTGCTGCCATGGTATGGCTCTACACAACCTCCACTTGGTGAGGGGGGTCTGTCTCTCAGAGGAGGGCAAACCCACCAGGAATTATGGTTTTCTGGTGCCAAAAGAAACCTGCCAGCAAGGCAAACACCTAGGAGTCGTCCTTTAATCAATTTCTCTAACCACTTGTGACCTCACATTGCAAGATTTGGGTGTCCTGACAGCCGATAATCCACCACCAGCATTCAGCTGAGAGCTAAGAAGGAAGCAGAACAATTGATTTTCAGCAGGGATTTCCAGGGATAAAAACAGATGCCCAGAGACCTCCTGGCTCTTTCATCACAGTCTCTCATTTTCATTGCAGACTGCACTGGGTGTCCAGACACTGAGAGCCGGGGAGGACAAAGAGAGAATCACTGATACTGCAGATTTCTGTCCAGACACTGATAACCCAGGGGTGACCTCCCTCCCTCCCCATTCTGACATATCTCTTTCAGCCATTTAATGGTGAGCTGAGCTGAGCTGATGTGAGATATCATCCTATTCCGATGGCTTGAAATGCTGCAAATGCATCGCCAAGGGGACTGTGCTGAAGGAGGTCATTTCCTTGACTGGACACAGAAAAAAAAAAAGACCAATCATTTACTTGAAGATAAAATATTAGAGGGAGTCAGACATCAGAGAAGCAACTAATTGAGAAGCAAGTAAAGGAGAATTGCTCCTATTAGATAGGTCCAGGCTACTTAAGAATGATCATTCATAACCAGGGTCCCTAGTGGCCCCAGCCCAGCAACCCAGCTGTGCCACCCTGTGCTGCACCACGGGATGCGTTTTGCCAGGGATTAAATCAAACCAACATGTCTTTTTTTTTTTACCCTTGGCAAGCTGAAGCCACAGCCAGAGCCAGATGTCTGAATAACTCACTTTCATGGTCCGAAATCTGAATTCAGTTCATACTGAGAGCACCACAACTGTGCTGCGAGCCCAAGGACACACAGCCTGGGCATCAGCCTGCGGGACTGACAAAAGCCTCCTGATGCCCACTGCCTTAACCCCATCCACCAGCAGATGAAATCCACTCGGTAGCACTGCAATAGCAACAGCTTTAATAGTAATATTTTTCTCCAAAAAAAAATTATTTTTTTTTTTAAAAGGAACATTAAATGTAAGTACAATAACCAGTTACTGCACCAACTGCGGTAATGATGCAAAGCCCAGACGCAGTTCCAGATGGGCTCTCCTTACAGTGGGCAGAAGGCATCTAAAGGATGTAGCCCAGCCCCAGCAGCTGAGGAGAGCTGGGATTTCTGACCGAGGGAGGGAGGGACAAAGCAACACAGTGGTCACCCCGAAACGTGCTGAGCGTTTCACCACGGCTCACAGCAGCCGGGGAGCTGAGCACAACGAGTTTTGTGCTGCTGCTGAAATGTTAAGCTGGGTATAGAGTACCTGAGGTAGTTAGAAAAACCAAGGGGAGAGCAAAAAAAAAAAAGCTGAAATTCTTTAGGGACGTCCCCATCTTGGAGTCACCAGAGAGTAAAACTGCCTACGAGGGCTGGGGCTGCCCTTGCCTGCTCTGAACAGCCCAAAGCCATGCTGGCACAGGCTGAATCTCTCTTGCAGGAGCTGCTCCTTATTGCATTGGAGATTTGTTTTTTGCTTGGTGTGAGGAAAATGTGCTCTTACAGTGCCCTGATGTCGTAAAGAGAAAGCAAGTGCATCACGGGCTCAGGTGCTGGCAGACCACATTTATTTCTGTGCTATGCTGCGTTGCATAGGAAACTCCTTAAAGCCCCTGAGGAGAAATTAAGGTGCTAATTATTTCTGGCGGGGTCCTGTGAGGGGAGACTGCTTCTGGGGGCGTCGTTTTGGGAAGAGGATGTAAAGCAGTGAAGCTGTGGGAAGACATTCCCTCCAAAGGCTGCCAGCACCATCAGATGCCCGCTCACCACCTGCACCTGCAAACCCATGGGCAGTGCCCCACACCTGGCTCTTCCAGGGAGCTCGTATCACCTGCAGCCTCCTAGGAGAAGAAATCAAGCCTAAGTGTCACCGCCTCCTGCTCCTGGCTGCTGAGAGCCCAGTCTGTTGGCCACAGCAGCCGCTCTTGTGTGCTTCTACTGAGTTTGTCAAAGATGCCTTCCCCACTCTTTCTGTTTTTCTGGTTCAACCTGAAAGAAAATCACCCTTAACAATCCGTCTTTCTAGCTATAAAGAGACTTTGCAGCTAAAATAATGTTTCTGTGCAAAAATATTCCCCTCTCGTGTAAAATATTTCAAAGCTGAGGAGCAGAAGGAAGAGGGGAGGTAATCCAAAAGAGGCAGCTATAAAACACGAGGGGAAAGAACGGGGCACTTGGTACCACAAATACTCAGCTCAATGGCACCAGTGTCATTGCAAAAGGTATTTACAAGTTCAGCTGGAGTTTGGGAGCCTCAAACAGCCCCATTCAAAGCCCTCAGAAATCAATGGCAATGAGTATGAGGACACCAGACACGTCTGAAACATCTCCGCTGAGCTCTGGAATGGATTTCTAATTAGGAGGAACATGCCCAAGCACTTTGCTGCAATGGCAGAGTGACCCACTCTCACCACCACTGGCAGCAAGGAGCAGAGCTGTGCTCAACCCCCAACTTCCAGCTTCTTTCAGACATGGCAGCACCCAGCTCCAAAAGCCAGGGGCAGCATCCCTTCCCATGGTTAGAAATGGTACCCGTGCATCTGCAAACATGCATGAGCACCTCCCTACCCACAGATGACAAAATGCACGTCTGTAGATACATTTAAAAAAGAAAAAAACTAAAACAGCTAAACAGGTGATATGTTCTGTAAGATGGGGGGGAAAAAAGCTCCTTTCTGATTGGGGCTGAAGACACCCCAAATTCACATGGTGCTCTACAGTCAGTCTACACTGTGGGAGTTTACCAAAACCATTGGGACACTGCTGTGCTTTGTCTTAAATACGTATTTACATCGCTCGCTTTCATCTCAAAAATGATAATTTAAAAGCAGTCTCTACAACATACAAAACAGCAACAGCTTCCCTCCAAAGTGGTTACAACCTTTTTACTGCTCATTACAAAAATTAGATTTTTTATTTGTAAATGCCTAAAAAAAAACACGTGTTCTCTTTTGTGATCCCTCCCCGCCCCCCTGGCCCCTTTTAAGTGTCTGAGTAAGAAATAGTTGAAGTGGTATCAATTCCATATGAAAAGCCATCCCTTCTGGATGCCTTCCCACCAAGACGAGGGTCTTCTCCTGCTGATTTCCAGTCCTGCTGAGAACTTGCAAGCTTTGGCCTCTTTAAACCTGGGGAGAGCAATCTCCACTTCTTCTTTTTATAATCAACTGTTAAAAAAAAAAAAAGAGGGGAAAAACAGAAAAATACGGATACCACCAATAAATGAGACGTGGATGAAAACATCTCTGCAAGGAGCTAGATAGCAAAATCCTCGTGGTCTTGTGGGCTGAATGCAGCTGCCCGGAGCATGTCCAAGGAGTTGACGAGGATGAGGGTGCCTGTGAGATGCTTCCAACGCTTGGTGATGGGATTCTTCATCTTGTCCAGCCCTGTGTGCAGCTCCTGAATCACGTCCCGGTAGCTGTCACCCATTTGGCTGCTCCAGGTGAGGAGGAAGTCATATGCGGGTTTCCACATGGCCTGTGGGACAGAAGGTGGGAGAGAAGAGCTGAATGTGAAGCTCGCCCCATGCCCAGCATTCAACATCCATCCTCAATGCATTCTGATCCCAAAACAAACGCGCTGTGGGTGAAAATATCCCCACGTTTCCCCCCTCCCCAATCACACCCAACTCCTCATTCCCGAAGAGCACAGGTTTGCACAAGCAAAAACACAAGCTTGGGAAAATCCCAAAGGACGAAGGCTGGTCTGCCCTCACCTCACTGTCCACCACCCCACTTTTGTCGCGGTGCGGGGCCTCGTAGGCATCCATCTGCTGCTTGGAGACCTTGGCGAGCTTCTCAGCGAGCTCCCTCCAGCGCTGGGCCACCTCCACGGCCGTGGTGAGCAGCACGAAGTCCTGGATAAGCCTGACCACCAGCCCTTGGCAGTCCATCTTCAGCAAGGCCTGGAAAGGAAAAACAAGGAAGACGGAGTCGGTGTGGGCCCGAATCAAGTGGGGATGTCCCTAAAAAAGCACCACAAAATCCTCCTGCCTCCCTTCTGGCAACAGCTGGTGAAATCAGTGGGCAGGACAGAAGAGTAATCCCACTAATTGAACCGAGTGCCCTAGCCCTGTTCAACCAGGCTTGCAGCTGGGGTTGCCCACCACGGCTTTATGTTGTAGGCTCAAGATGTTCAGGAGCCACATAAGCAGCTAAAAGCATCTTAAAGCCTTTAATCAAGACAATGAACCCGGTGTGCTCTGAGCTGCTTGTACCCCCAGCCCAGAGGAGCACTGTCCAGTGGCACAACCAGCGTGAGCATCCACAACCTGCACCGAGCAGCTGGTGGGCACAGGCCAGGAGGACATTTGGGGACAAGGCCTGGAGAGCAGCCTCAGAACAAGGAGATGGAGAAGAGAAAATGCTTGACTGACAGCAGTGTGTTTTCTAGCAATAATTCAGCCAGGAATAAAGGACAGAGCAGGTAAAACCCTGTTCAAAACACAAAGCAAGTTGCAAAAGGGAAAACCTATGGAAAGGAATGATTTAAATGGTGATTATCAGAGCATCAACAGAACCAGCATCCCTCCACAGCCAAGCTGGAAGGACGAGGCACCCCTCATGTGCCACAGCCAAGTGGAAAGCACGAGAGCTTCAGGAGCAAGCCCTGTCCCTGGACAAATCCCTCTACAGACCTCCAGTGTTTATGGAAACACGTTCTGTGTTATGGAACAAGAACCTTTTGATTTTTATGGGTTTTTTGAAGCAACACTGAAACAATGCTAACAATCCCAAGGTGCCCTGAGGGGCAGTTTACCACCCAGAAAGGTTTAATCATCACTTAATCATCCATCTCCTTCCATGGACTGCAGCAGCAGCTCAGCAGGTTCATCACGCACTACAACGAGGAGACAGATCTGCTAGCTGCTGCCTTCCTTTTTTTGTTGAGCACCCTCTTGTTTGCTTACTGCCAGAGCTGCAAGGACAGCAGAATGAGGACTGCAGCTCCAGGACAGCTGAGCACCAAGGGCACCGCTCAGCATCTCGGCAGGGGAGCTTACTTGAGCAAATGCAAACCACAGCTTGGTGATAAAGAGGACAACCCCCATCCATGCTGCTGTGAGCTTCCAAGGAGCATGCTGTGCTGGCTTCAGCATTCCCATTGGAAACAACACCAGCATCACAGCAGCGTGGGGAGGTTATTACAGCAGTCAAGGACCTGAAGAAAAGCTCTCAGTGGTCCAAAGAGGGCCAAGAAGCACCTGCTCCCTCCTGCTAATTCCCAACATATTCAGAGCACACAAGCTTGAGCAAGACTGTCAGGAATGGTTTTCAGCACAAGGATGCCCAGCTGGCAAGCAGGAGGATGCAACCATTGCCCCCCATGCTCCTCCCTGTCCTTCTGCTGCCATCCCTGCAGCAGGGCTGTGGGTCATCATGTCCTGTCCTGACCCAGGGCTCTGCACACACGCAGCTGAATCAGCTCTGAAGAAGAAGAGGGGTTAAATCCTCTCAGAGTCTGTTTATCAAGGGGACAGTAACAAACAGCTGGGGAAGACAGTAACATCTGAAACCACTCCAGCAATTTGCAAAGCAAATATATGTTGATTCCCTTATCTGTTCCCAGCTTACACAAAGCAAAGCTGGGCTTGAATCTAATTACTGTTTCGGACCAGCATTTGCTTCTACAAAATGCTTACACTGGTTTCCTGCATTAGAAGTAGAAATAACAAACCCTCTCGTTAAGCAAGCAAAATACATTTTAAAAAAAACATTATATTTTTCTTGGGCATTGAGAAGCGTTCACATCTGTGCTGTATTCACAACTGTGCAGAGCACTCAACATCCAGCTCTCAGCAACGTTATCTCACCACGCAGCCAACAGGCTCAGGGTCCTTTGCTCTTGAAGTGAAGGCTTCAGGTGGTCCTAAGAAGCACAGATTTAGGATTATGGCCCAGGGTCTTCTTCCTGAGATCAGGGGTCAGCAAGTGTGAACTGTTCTGAATCAGGCGGACGGTGCAGAAGCATTTTGTCCTTTCCTGATCACACATCAGCTGATCTATTTCCCAGGGATAAGAGCACTTGGGAGAAACATACCCTGCTTCCCAATGGACGCAGGAAAAAGGAGTAACAGCAGGGGATGAAAAGGGAGGTGTCATTTAGCAGAGAGTCCCGTGCTATGAGTGGTACTATCACTTCAAGCCACAGCTTTGAAAGAGATAATTCTGCTCCCCTCGGCTCAGCACGTTCACTCTGAAACCTACTAATAAGCAGAGCAACAGCTCCTGCCTTCACTTTGCCTCCAGGGAAGGCTCAGTCTGCAAAGGGAGCCCCAGGTGAGCCAAGGGAAACACGGGGCAGCGAGGAGGTGATGGAATAAGCAGCCAAAGCATACATTATAGCAGGCACAGGGATCCCTGCAAGCCCTTGTTGCCCAGCTGGGATTAGCAGGGCTCTCAGCAGATGTAATCCTCCAGCAGGCGCTTTTGGGATTATGCTCCAGCTTCCCTCCATCCTCCTCGGGTGCATTTATTAACCTCAGAGAGGCCCCAAGCCCGCTCCACCAGCAGAGCAGTGCGGCACAGCAAAGGAGATGGTTTGATATTCAAATTCCAGTTCAAAGCAGAAGAGCCTCCACTTTAAAACGCATCCAGGGGAGGCTGAATTTGCATCCCGGCTCTGAAATGCAGAAGCCCATTTCCAGTCCTCTAATCACAGCAAACAGCATCCAAGCAAACAGGCAGCAGGGAGCCCTGGGCAGAGCGCAGCACACAGACAGGGAAGGAGCAAAGAATGGGGCTGAAAGGCTGTATGTGATTCCTGCGCATCCCTTTTCACCTCCTTCAGTTCAATAATAATAAAGCCAAGATGGGATGAGCAGCTATGTGAGCTGTGGATGCGTTGTCCCCTCCCTAGATCTGTTGGAACCATGGGGTGAAGCCTTTTCTCCTTTCCCCCCTGAGGTGGGAAGTGTCCCCAGGTTCACTCGTGCCTGCTAAGCGTGAGACTCAGAAGGAAGCGGTGATGGAAATGGAGTTTTTAAATTAGTTAATGATTTTTTAAACAGCATTTAAATTAGAAAGCACCCTGGAGGGTCCAAGCGTTATCAGGCATTAATCACTGCCTGAAAGGGCTGAAGGTAGCTGCTAGGGAGGCAAAGATGTGGTTACAGCAGCAGCAGCATTCAGAGTTCCATTAACCAAGCACGGGAATGCCTCAGGTACAGCACTCTGAAATACCTGCACTGAGAAACAGGAGGGAATCAACGATTTCCTTTCAGCCCCAGCAAATAAAAAGAGGTCATCTTATGTTGTCTGCAGAGCCAGGAGCCTGCAGGGAAGTTCACAGCCAGCCCTGTGCCACTGCTCTACCATCACCCTGCTCTGAGCAGCCTGCTTGGCAGAGCCTCGGTGGGAGCACTGCCCCACCAGCTCTGTTTGAGGGATCTGGTTTTCATCAAGGACCCAAATTCAGAGCAGGGCTGCCAGCAGCCCAATTCAGGATGCAGGAGCTAGGGGGAAGGAAGAAGAGCACGTTGTGCTTGTGTGTGAGATCCAAGCAGGAACACAGCGCTCAGGCTGTCCAGCAGCAGGGATGAGGACACAGCATTGTCCCTTCACTCCTCCTTGGTAGAAAAGAGGCAGCATTCACACACCTGCAGTCACAATAAATACAGCAAGCAGAAGCACATCTCCAGCTATCTGGAGAAGAAAAAGCTTATAGGATCTGCAGCTCTATGCTAACAAGTGTAGTCATATTCTCAGCAGACTGGTGTTGCTCCCTAGAAGCAGCATTTATTGGAAAGGCTGGTAAGAGCAAGGCTCTACCAAAACACCGTATCAAAAATGCAGTGTGAGAGAAGTGATGTCTTTCACGGCAGGCTTCACTCCAGCTCCAGAGGACCAGGCAGTGCATCCATTGTATGGCAAGTTAGGTCAAGTTTCTCAAATGAAACCTGGCACGGCTCTCTGTGGCAACCTGAGCGCATTGGATTATACTGTGGTATGTGCCTTCACATTTTCAAAACCACCCAAACACCAAGTGTTTGCTGGGACTCCAAAGGCTTGGAAATGTGATGGAGTTAGCACCTGCATGCTGGGCTACAGCCACCGACCACAGCGATGCTCCCTGTGTGCGTGGGAGAAGTATGTCACCTTGAAGCCCTGCCATGGAGAAGTGAGCAAACGCATTTCTTCCCCTCAGCAGCAGCCACAGAGAGCACTCAGCCCAGCTGCAAGAGGTCTGTGTTAGGCTGTATCACTGCAAATCCAGGCTGCAGTGCCTACAGGCTTTGAGAAGACAACCCGCCTGCTGCCTGGGTTGATGGGCAGAGAGGGAGGGGAGAGCTTGGTTTCCCTCTCTGATGTGATGACTAACTTCTGAGCAATGCTCCCCTCGGTTACCTTCACACACTGCTGCTTTTGCTAGATGAAAAGAGTAAGTAATCACAGATTATTTATTAACTAGTCATCAGTGAGAGGGCTTTTCCATGCTTGGCTACCGGTGTACAGCTCTGCCATGGCAATCCTGTGTACTCAACACCGATGTGAGATAAGCAGCCTTACCATTTCCCTCTCCACAGTCCCTTTGGGACAGGACAGTCAACTTTAACATGAAATACACAGATGTCACCAGCAGAAAGCAAGACCACTCGTTGCAAATAAAATCAGCCTTACACGCAAAATATATTACTTTTCAACTGTCATTCCCCAAACACAGCTGTTGTGTTTTTTTGTTGTTTTTTTTTTTAAATCAATCTCACTCTTATTTCTTTGCAAGCTAAGGACCATTTGACAGCAGCAAAGGGTTTAGAAGCAGCACAGTTTTCCACCAGGAGAAGGGCTCATCCTTCACCAACAGGCTGAGACGCCGCAAGATCTGGCACAGAATAGGAAACAGAGCCAATATTCAGGATTAGTCTCCATTCAAGCATGGAAAATAAAACCCGCTCTGGGACTCTGCATGAGATGCATCCCTTTGGGAGCAGTATGTTTTCCAGCAGCTTATAGCCCTCCTCTTGAGTTAGTAGGTCTGTGAGCCCCCAGAGAGCCTCCTCTTTTCTTCATCCCCATAGTTAGGCTGGCGCAGCCTCTCCACGACCTACAGGCTGTCTTTGTCCCCTGGAGACAAAGAGAATAGATAAAAGAAATGCAAGCCAGTAAAGCAAACAGCACAAAGCCCTAGGAAGCATTCAGCAAGAGGAGCGCACAGTTCACCCCATTACTCACAGAATGATTAAAGGTGCAAAGCCTCCTTCTGAGGAACCACAGGGCCAGACACAGCCCTGGCTAACACCTCCACCCAGCCCCACAGCAGAGGAGGGGTTGCTGAGGCTGGATGAGCCATAGCAAAACATGGCACAAGACATGACTGCATCCCAGGCATCATGAGCCCAAGTGGCCCACGGTCTGGAGATGCAAACTAATGCCCCGAGCTTAGCTTGGAGATGTGGGCCAGAAAGTCAGATCTTCCTCCCAGAAGCTCAAAAAACAAGTCCATACAATGGCCAGAAGAACCCCTCAAGAGAAGCTGAGTTGATGACATGGCCTGCAGCTTGCCTTCTATCGAAACCCAAAGCTAAAACATTGTCCCACTGGCCACAAATCACAAACCCAGGCAGCGAGGTTACCCCTGCTCTCCTCTCATCTCCACCCAACTAAATGTTTTGCAGCCCAGCAGCTCCCTGGCCTCTCACCTCAGTGCCAGCCTACACGGTTCAAAGTCAAGGTGATTTGGGGCTGCCCAAACGGTTGCTCATTCCAACCAGCACCTGCACCAGAGACTGCTGGAAGACACTCTGGAAACCACCATCACACACCAGACCTCTTCATCACAGCGTTCCCTCAGATCAGCAGGCAGCAGCACAGCTGGATCTGGAGAAGGCAAAGCTGAAGTGGGAGGAAGAGCAGAGGGAAGCAGCAGCATCCTCCAGTAACTGCAGCCCATTGGCCTTCAGCTTGCATGCTCCCCTGGGAATGCAGCATGGCATTTGGACATCCTTGCCCTATGCGAGCAGCTCTGGTGCTCACCCTAAGTGCAGGCATGAGTCAGACTTTTGGGAACTATCTTCCCATTTTCCACAATAACACCAACACTCAGGGCCTGTTATAAGGAGTTATTAATTGTACTGTGCTGTTAGGCAGAGGAAGTACATCCACAAGACATCTCCTATGAACTCCCCTGAAAAAATTTCCATGAGTAATGAAAGGCTCCGTACTCTTCATAACGCCTTACACCTAATGCTCAATCCTGACATTCCCCATTTTTATTAAGAGAGGTTGGGACGTGGAGTGCTTCATTTAGCTGCAGTCCTCTTCACCCATGTGCCTACTTCTAATTTCCTTCTGTGTGCTGCATGTTCCTTCCTCACTGCCTGCCTGCACCATTGCTAAGCAAAGCTTGTGCTATTCTTAATTAAATTGGCATTTCAAGACACATGAATTGCTGCAACTCAAATCTCTCCTCAACACAAAGTCCTGCATTTTCTTTGGCCCACTTCCTATGAAATGCTAGAAGCTGTTATCGTGAAGACAGTTTCTCATTAGAGATTTCCAAAGAGCATCCTAGAAAAACCTGCAGACAGCACTTCCCCAAATGCCTTTCAGGACAGAGGCAAGCCAGGCACTTCAGACAATTTACAAACACAACCCACAGCTGAACACAAAGCATCCCAATTCAGAGATGCCCTTGGTTTAGCTGTCACTCAAGGAAAGAAGGAGTAAATATAAACAGACATTGTTATAGAGCAATTTGGGGTTGTTTCATAAATGTAAAGACGTAGCACTTCACAGCAGCCATAAAACCCCTCTCCTGCATGTTTGACAAACTTGAGGCCATATAAAAGCATGTCCCTGCCTGCAGTGGGGGGGTTTGGAACTTGATGATCCTTGAGGTCCCTTCCAACCCAAGCCACTCTATGATTCTATGACTTGAGAGGTGGCTTGCCTACCACACACCATACAGGAAAAGCATTTATGTTTCTTGCCTTTTTCCAGTTTTCTGCCATAAAAACCAAGACCTCCATCACTGACATCGCTTTGACCTTGGACTGAGGAGACCAGCAGCTCTTGGGTAACTCCTCGATACGCACGCACATCTCCTACTTATCACTGGAGGCTGAAATGCAATACCCAGCAGCGAGGTCCGGCTGAGCGCTAGGAAAGCACTGGACTGAAATCACCTTGCTTTGAAGGGCCTTCAGCTTAGCCATCTTCCAAGCACGCCTGCTTCTCTCACACAACACATGCAATTTTTAACCCATTTCATTCCTCACTTACAGCCACAATCCCAGCCTGCCAACGCATGTCACCGCAGGCCTGAATCCCCATTCAGTCTGCAAACTGCACTTCATTTTTCAGTGACTGAGTCAGGAAAGCTTAGCTCCCATTCACCCCAAATCACTCCGTACCACAGAGAAGGAAGATGCCCTCATCAGACCTTGGACTCACCATCATCAGCTCTTTCTGGAAAGATTTCCTGTCCTTGTTCTCCGTGTTGTTGCAGTCTTCCTTCAGCTTCTCCAGCACTGATGCCACTCGCTCTGGCTCACTGTCCAACTCTGATCGGCAGAAAAACGTGAGCGGTAAGTTCAAATACCCCAACGCATCCGCGAAGGACCTCCAGCTGCTGAGGTTCTCCATGAGAAGAGTCCTGACGGAGGCATAGATGTAGGTTAGGAATTTGCAGGGTCTGAGGATTTGCTCGAGCAACAGGCTGGTGGTGAGATCAGGCCCAGAGAAGTAGCTGGGTTTGACCTTTCCAACCACCAGCACATTTTTGGTGTGTACAAGGCCTATTTTGCCCTGGTAGTAGCCAATATACCACTCCTTTGTCCACAGTTGTCCCTTCAACCTGATCTTCTCCTCACTGAGGAGGGCTATGACATCTCCTTTCTTGTACTCCAGCAAATAGTGATTCTTGCTTTGCCGCACCACTGTTTTCAGCAGTTTGCCATACTTCAAGCTCAACACCGGCCGGTCCTGAAAAACCGGATACTTGGCAGTGGCAGCCAGAGGTGAAAGGATGATCTTTCCAACCTCGTTCTTCTTGAGGAACCGCCTCTGCCCTGTCGGTTTGATGGCACTTTTAGGAGGCGGCTGTGGCGTCTGGACGCAGAACTGGGTCAAAATGGCATCCTTGTCATCCTTGACCTGTATCCTTAGCGTGAAATCTGAGAGCTCGTTGGGATCATGGGATGCAATGGGGAAGATAAGGCGACTGACCTTGCCCAGCTTCATCTGGAAGCCTCGCACAATTTTGGCTTGCTCACTAGCTTTCACCTCATAGTTGGTCATGTTGGAGAACATGCAGAGCTTGAGGTCCTGAGGCCGGGACAGAGTAAACTGGTGCTTACCCCAGAGCTGAAGGGCAACTGGAGCTGGGCTGTGAGACTGCCTCGTGACCTCGTTCACTAGGAGAGTCTTGGGTGCACATTCGTGCCCAAACACGGCCACAACTGTTTTAAAGGAAGGGTGAATATGTTTTGGGCCATAAACACCAACTGTGATCTTCTTGCTGATATAATCCCAAACAGTGTAAGGGTAGAGGATGTTCTGCCCTTGAGCTACAGCAGCGATGTACATGCAAGGCTCTAGGTTCTCCAGCTGCACCTGTATCGTGTCCCCATACGAATAGCTCAGCTGCATTGGCATGTATGGCCCCTCTTTCATGTCACTCCGCAGGCACTGCAGCCCTACCAAATTCTTGCTCATGATGTCATTCTTAACCTCCGCAGATACCTTCATCTCCAGAATGATGAACGTTTTCACCTCCATGTTGCTGAGTTTGATCTGCAGGACGGGGCTGATGGTGCTGCACTTATCGCTGTTGAGCTCCAGCGGTGGATCTAGCATAGCTTTCATGGAGATCTGCTGCGTTTCCCCGGGGCACACGTGACCTTCTGGCACATGGATGCTGATGTTGGTGTCTGGAAGCTGAACAGCTCCACCAGAGCTATCCAGTTTGCAGACAATGTTGGTCTCCACCGGTTGTGTCTGACCCCAGCCAGGATTTTGACCAAGCAAATCCAAGTCATGGCAAGACCGGGCCAGCTTCCTATGGTTCAACCACGCGGTCCTAAAATCTTCCCTGCTCTGGAATTGCTCAGGAGTGGGAGATTTTAAACCACTGAAAAAACTGGACTGTGCCGGAGTGTCCGACTTCGCTTGCAGAACAGAGAGCTCAGACAAGCTGTAAGAGCGTTTGCTCCTGAAGAAGGGATTGTCCCTTTTCACGGACTCTTCCAGGTCCAGCCTGTTTGTGGATGGAAATTCATCAAAAATGTTACCCATGCTGCTATTAGCAGCTGAGCTAGGAACTGTTGAAGAAGGAGGCCCCGTGTCAAAGAGCAGCAAGTCAACAGATGCTTTGGAGTTGGGCTCTCTGTCTGAGCTGGTCAATGTCTGCAAATTCCCATTGAGAAATGGGTTTGTCTGGACACTGTTCAAGAAAGGGTTATTATTGTGGGCTTTCACAGAGTTTCTTTTCACATCAGTCCATTCTCCAAGCAGGTCCAGCTCCCTGACCCCCTCGTCAGGGCTCTCCAGTAGATTGTCTATCATCCCGCTGTCCGTTAAGGAAGAGTTGCGGTAGTTTACAGGCTGGACGTAGGAGGAAGGGATGTAACCCATTTCTGTGGTATTGTGAGCATACCACCACTCACCTCCTGATGTGTCTAAGACATAAAGATGGTCCCCCTTAGAAAACTTTAAAGTGGTGAAATTAGTTGGACAGTAATCTTTGATTGCTATTACTTCCTTTGCATTTCCAAAGGACGTGGGATTGTCAACCAGCAAGGCACTAGGAGAAGGCACTGTGAAATGAAATAGAAAAACACTGTAAGCGATCCACAGAGTCACAAGTTACTTAAAATCATTTATTTCAGGCAAGTAATCCACACTACATCAAGCAGTGAAGCCAAAGTAGTTTCAAAGCATCTCCAAGCCACAGGTTAAATTCTTTTCACTATCGTTTTTAAACAGAACTATTCACTTCGCTACATCTGATACATTTATGTTGCAAGAGAAAATGCCTTCTCGAAAGAGATGGGCATCAAAACAAGGAAGAACAGCAGGAGTTGAGACAGGAGACACAGCAATTTGTTATCATCCCATGGTAGCCAGGCATGCAGAGAGAAAGAGGGTAAACAGTGCAGTAAAGTGTCTTAGCAAGAAGCCTTCCCCTTAATTGAGGACCTCACTCAGCTGCTTCTCTAAGAGACAGCCTCTGAACTCACTGATGAATGATGTACACAAAGCTGCATTGAAGGGAGCGTTCCAAGGGAGCCAGAGCCCCATCTTATCAGCTCTCTCTTTTAGCTGGCATTACTGGATCTAAGTTCTTAAGGGTAAATAGCAGGCACTCCCCTAAATTTTCACATTTAAAACAACAGAGGTTAATTTTGGGAGGGCTCTAAAGGTGTGCTGCATGGGAAGAGGTTATATGGCCCAAGTGGTTTTTCAAGGCCATTATCATACACATTTGGTCAGTGGTATCTCAACATCTTAGGCCAGCAGCTCTTCAGCACTGCCTTTTTTTCCACTTATGTTTCAGAGTAAGAGACAGCTAAGAGTACCCATGAAGGGCACGTCCATATTTCCTCAACAAAACTTAGCTCCTTTTACAAAGTCAGGTTATTTGAACCACCACAAACACCATATTGACCTCCCACGGACCAAGCAGCATCTCCAGTCTCTCTTTCAGCAATGTTGAGCAGCAGGGCTGGCTGCAAGTTGTTTGGCCAGTACTATCTGATCGCAATTGCAAGCAAAACAGTTCAATTAAGACTACAAATGTTCACTCTATCGCTGTATTTATTGCTTTTGCTTTCACACGTAGGACCTACTTCTGTTAAGGATCACGAGAAATAAGCTGCAGATAATGTTATATCAGCATTCAAATGTTTGTTATCTTGCGAGACAGACCTAAGAAAACAATGCCTGAGGGGGGAGGGAGGGGAACTGGGGGAGGAAAGAAAAAAAAACACAGGACGTCAGGATGTCTGTCAGCCCTACAGAAAACGGGGAAAGCTAACAAAAAAGATGTGGTGCAGCTATGGCACAACTCGTGATGCCTACTGAAAAACACAGCAAGTAAGAGCAAAGAAAAGTTTTAGATACAAGGGCCAGAGGGCTCGAGTATTAGGAAAATAAGAGCTTGTACACACTAAGTGATTCATCATTAACCTACTTCCCCTGCACAGCCTCTGCCAGCAAGCAGGGAAAGTTGTGAGCACATTTATTCAGTGTAAAACTATATATAAACTCTGTACTGAACCTATTTTGCCACCTGGCCAGGAAATGGCTGTTAATGCAGCTCTGCAGCCCAAGCCATTTGCTGGAGAGAAGCTGATGCCCTCTGGATGCTTTCTAACATCTTGGTGTCCTTCTCACACTGTGCTGCCCCAAAACTGCACCCAGTGCTCAAGGTGAGGCTGTACCAGTGCAGAGTGAGCAGAGCAGGACAGTCCCCTTCCTCGCATGAATGTGAGCATGAGTAATTACTCACAAGGATGTGAGTAATCCCTATTTTTGCATTAAAAACAAACTAATGGACAGCAAGAGCATTTGATGTTCGGGACTCTCCTTGCTCCTCGTGCAAAAACAACTGCTTTGTTGCATGTTTATTTTTAAAGACCATCAACACACGCTAGCTTCTTCTCCTCCTGCCTTGGGATCCATTTACACTGAGGGAATGGGAATTCTCTCAAATTTGAATCAGTTCTGGGAGATGGAGAACCAACCCTGCAACTGCCTTGTCACCAGCCTGGCAAATCCATCTCTTCTCTTGCACACGGTGGCACCTGTCCCCTGGTGACTATGTCCCCCACTATGGCCCCCCACCTTTGACGTCGCACAGGCTGCTTTCTGAGAAGCCCTCGCTGAGGTCGATGAGTGTCCCCTCCGACTTGCAGCGCAGCAGGCCGCTGGAGTTGGCTGCCCGGATCCTCTGTGCCGCCATTTTGAGCTCGTCGAGAGCCCGGGCAGTGTTAGGTGGGCATGGCTCCTCCACACACCCCGGAGATACCACAGCACCCTGGGCAGCTTGCCTGCAGGTAAAAACAAAGGCCAGCACGTTAGCAATGCCTCCTGCTCTCAGCACGATGCCCGCACGATGTACTCGGCAAGATGTGAGCTCAGCACGTGCCACTGCTTCAGCTTCAGGCTGACTCAGGGCAGCTGCATCCTTCCTTTCCCATTTGCTTATCAGAGAAGCACTCCAGATAAAAAGCCATCTGCACCTGTGTGCCGGCCCTGCAGTGCTGATTCAGGAAAACTTCCTCTTGTCAGAAAGCCATGGAATAATTACAATTGGAAGGGACTTCTGGAGGACATTTGGTCCAACCCTCCTGCTCTAGGGGGGATACTTGGAGCAGTCTGCCCAAGACCATGTGCAGGAGTCACACTGCCATATTCTCCTTAAAGCATCACGATAGATTACCTTGGTACTCCTAATAATCTAGGTCTGGTCAGCAAGGGCAGCCTGGCCTTGCATGACACTGCCATACATCTCCTCGTACAAACAGCCCTCTCTGCTTTCTGCAGCTGCTCCCAAGGCACCAGCAGCACAACTGATATCAAAGCCAACACACAATCTATGCACACCTTCAGCCCTTTTCCCAGACCTCACCAAAAGGACCATCCAGAGATGCAGCCTGGTGGGACATCTCCGGCAGATGCAAACCTCTTCCTCTGCCATAGCACTGGTGCACGTTCTCCTCCACTACCTGGCTTCGGATTCCCATCCTCTTCCATGTTTGTTCTCTTACCCTTTCTCTGACCACCAGCACAGTGGCTGATGCAAGCGCTGGTGGCAGTAGCTCCTCTGGTGTCACTGAGCTGTGCTGGAGCTTGGAGGGTGGCCAGGAGGGTCAGGAGCACATAGGCAAGCAAGCCTGCGGCCTCTCTGCTAGCTGAAGGCAAGGCTGCAGCACAGACCCTCAGCCCCACTTTGCTCTTTCAGGTTTGCACCAAAGAAAGGTTCACAAATAAAGCCCTGCGCAATCAAAAGCCATATCAATCCAAATTCCCTGCTTGAATTCAGCAACCCAAATGACTTTAAATCCCCTCCTATCACTGCTCTCCCTTCTCTCCCTTCCTCCTCACTTCACACAGTCTTCTCCCCTGCTTCAAAACCAGATCAAGCAGAAAATAACCCCAAACCCAAATTCCTTAGAAGGCAGAGCTCTGCTGGGAACACAGAGATAATGGGAATGTGAAGACAAGCACTGTTTGGCCGCCAACTGCCTGGGCTGCAGCTGGCTGTTATTAAACCTGCGGGTCTGGAGGAAAGGAGGAGCGAGCCCTGAAGGAATCAGTACCCTTTTCTGGAATGTAGAAAGAGGAAATTTGCATCCGGGGAGGGAGAGTCAAAGCAGGAGACACTCAAGCCTGCTCGAGATGCTTCTCAAGCCATCTGAAGTCTGGTATGCCAGGAATGCAGTCACCGTAAGGATGCGGGAGGCTGCAGACAGAAAGGAAAGAGAGAAGTTTTGCACAAACACTTTTCCCTTTGAGAAGAGCGTTGTTTTGGGTTCTGCTGGAACTCAGCAGGGAGAAGGCTTTGCAGGCGCTGAGAACTGGGCTTACAGCCACAGCTGGGCTTATCAGAGGAGCTGGGTAAGACAGGGAACCTGGAGAATAGCAATAAGAAAGGGCACTAAGCAGACATGCAGCGGGAAGCAAGGAAGGGAGGAAAGATGCTCCATTCAGCTGGCACGTTTCAAAAAGGTGCTGCCAGTCCAGCTCACACCTTTGCACAGCACCAACCCAGCAAGTAATAATGCTAAACACCATCACCCACTGCTTGGAATTGCACGTTTTGTGCAAAGACTCACTGCCTGCCACGACATAACTGTGCAGAAACGTGGTAGGATCCTGCAGGAGTTTTGCTCAATTAAAGTCCTCTGCAGCTCTAATTGGGCACAAAGTGGGCGTGCAGCACTGTTGTCACAGCAACAGCTAAGTGGTAAATGTTTCCCAATATTAGCAATTATTGCACACACCAAAACACAGACAAAACAAACACTCTGACAGCTCAAAGGTCAACCCTGTTCGGTGAGCATTGCACAAAGTTTTTTTCTGAGCAAGAAAGAAACCAGACAAATAACTTTCCTGTGAATCAAAGTGGAAGCCATGCATGTATTTTAAATACCTGCCTGGAAGTCCAGTGTCAAATATTTTTGCTATCAGTAGTTAGAGCTGTGCACCGAAATATCCACAAGCCTCGCCGTGCCTGGCACAAGCAGGGATGCTCCCCATTCCAGTACTTCCATAAGCACATTGCAAGCTTTATGTTAAAGATCTGTGCCAGATGTGACTGTGTGGAGACACAGCTGGAAAAATAAGCCCTACATACATCCCAAATTCCCCAAAGACGGCAAGAATGTACATTAAAAATGACTGATTAGGGAAAGCTATTTCCTCTGTTGTTTCTATCTCAGTCTGTTCTGGATGTAGCAGGACTATCACACACATTGGAGGATGGGTGTGCATGCACTCCCCTGCAGTTTTCAGGGGGGGCTGTGAGGAACTGCAAAGGGATGGGTGTTCCGGGGCTCCAAGGGGTGAACCTGAGATGGTTCTGAATGCAGAGCCAGGGCAAAAAGCTCAGAAAGAACAAGCCTGCTGCTTCAAACCTGGATTATGGGAGAATAAAAGGGGATGGGCAAGTGCTGGGTGGGGAGAAACACGGGTTGCAAGGGCAGGAATTGTTTAGAAACTGCTGAGACAATGGTCTGTAAATTCATCAGAAAACACTTTAAATATAGAATAGGAAAAACCCTACCTCCATCTGTTTACCCACAGTGATAAACAGCATCCTTACTGAATGGAAGAAAGGATAAGGGGGGCAAACAGCTCTCCCTCCTGCACACATCCTTGTTGGGGATGCACATGGGGATGAGGAGAGGAGCCCTGAACAAGGGTTAAGGCTCAGCAAAGCTTTAGGGAAGCACAAACAAGGACAGCTGCTGGAGGGCACCGCGTTCCTTCTCACCACATTTCTAAGGCACAGAAGTACCCAGCATTGCATTGCTATGGACAGGAGCACCACGGGGCTGTTTCACCCCAACTCCCAACCAGCAGCACCAAAAAAAACTCACTTTCTCCCTGTGCTGGCACTGTACAGGGTGAGAGCTGTCTCCTCCCTGCCCCATCTGCTGGATTTCTGCACCCTAGGGGACATCATGAGCCACGGGACTCACATCCTGTGACTCACCCGTAAGGGAATCGCACCACCATCTGCAGCAGGGACTTGTAGAGTGGATTCAGCTTTGTGTTAGCTGGGGTTAGGAACAAGGCCAGCAGCACTACGTCACGTGGTGGAAGGGCAGCAGCCTTGCTGGCAACCCACCACATCCCACTGTGACCAACAAGCTTCTGTCACAGAACACGAAACGGCACAAAAAGGGTTACAAGGAACTTCAGCAAACTCTCTGGGGTGGCTCAGGCCGGAAACCAAGATGCAGCCTGGCCTGCTGCCACCACTCAGCACTCCATTCCTCTCTGCTCAGCCCTGCAGAGCCGTCACCATGCTCAGCCCAGTCCCATGGGGACAGCAGCAAGCCCCATCCCTCCTCACTGCTCCCAGCTATTGTGCAGGGCCAGTCCCATTGCCACAGCATGGGACAAAGCACGCACCCACCTCTGGCTGCTTACAATGGCCATTACAACCACCAGCTGTGCCTCCCTGGCTGGGCACCTCTATTTGAACCCAGTTCTCATGCTGGATCAACAACAAGGCCCATATCTTATCTAGAGAATTTAATCACCGCTGAATTACAAATCAAAGATGTAGCACAGGCATCTCAGCCACACTAAACTGGATTAGTAGAGAAAAGCAATTTCAGGAGAAATACTCACTGGCAGGGTAAGCTCCATGTCTGCGAGCAAAGGAACACAACTAAAGCATGAAAACACATAGAATCAAAAAACCCCGGGGGCAGGGGGAAGACTTTGCTCCCAGTACTGGGGTGGTTTCCTGAGAGCAGCCCCAGGCATGGGGCAAAAGGCACAACTCCACAGAGCATCCATCAGCACTGCTGACCACGGCCAATGCTCACAGCAGTGTGTGGGGAAAACCCAAGCAGTGTGAGCAGCACACAGGACTGGGACAAGACGTCACCCACCAGCATCAGTGTACATGCCTTTATCACATGCTGCAAGAAAAGGTCACCTCTGTCTTTGCCAACTCACTTGCGTGGAACAAGAGCTCTGAGAGGCGCCTCCTGCACTTCCCAAACCGGCTGCATGAAAACACCCTTGGCTCGCTCTGTCCCATCCTTCCCAAAGCTCCAGGGCTGCAAATGCCACCAGCACCAGCTCCTTTCCAACAAGGTAGATGAGGAGAGAGTGGCAGCAGTGAGTCTGTGCTCATACAACAGCCAGCAATGGAAATCCCCTGGCTGCCAAGAGTTTTTGCTGATAAGACCTGGGCGGGCCCGCTGGGCCAGCTGGTACCAAGTACTGGGGTGGAGATGGAGCCAGGTCCTTCTGGTTCCAAAAGAGCGATAGGTGTGGTACTCATGTCAGCAAAGGGTGGTAGGGAGGAGGAAGCTCTTCCCTCCCTAGCCCACACCTCCCAACATGACCTTCTCCTTGGGTACTGTATAAAAAGCCCATCAAACCCTAAGCCTGCAGGATGAGTTCAGAGGAAACCTCCCTGCTCTGGCTGCGTGTACACTTTCACAAGATGCAGCATCCAGGCTGGGATCACCTCTCCTTATCAACCCCAAGCTATCAGGCACATCAGGGCCGCATCTTGCCATAGACTGTAAGGTGGAAGGTGTAGAAAGACCATCTCATCTATCAGTCATCATACTCCTTCAACTTCCCATGCCAAAGCCAAGAGCGACTCCAAGAGCAACTCCAGTCACTTATTGCTAATTATTTTTCATCTACCTTTTGCTTCCCCAAAGTCAAGATCTCTTGGCTCACCCTAAAAATTAGAAGTGGTTTGAGTTACAGCATCAACCAGATTTTGTTCCTGCAGTGTGCCATTTTAGCAAAGAGACTAAGCCACGTCACTATCGCATTTAAGAACTTGGTT